GGAGCGCGTCGGCTTCGACGCCAAAGGTCGGACCAAGTCCTCCGGCAAGCTGACGCGGCGACGCTTGAACAGCTGCCGAGAGGATCGGACGGGACCGCCGCAGGTTTGTATGGGCGTGACACACCCTTACTAGTATCTCTTATATACCCTTGGTTATTCCCTTGCTGCCGATGGACGTCATCGAACTCATCGCGATGCAAGTGGCATGTCCTTCGAGCCTCTCAGCGCTGCTGAGCGCCCTGCCTCCAACCGCCGTGACACCCGCGCTCGCGGCGCTTCAAGCGCTGACGCAGCAACCGACGACCGCGCGCGTCTCGTGGCCTCGCGTCACGTTCCTCTCAACAGCATCGGCCTCGACGCACGCGCATCTCACGAAGCTCGTACGCCACGGGGTTCAGATTGAGCTTGTTTTGCGCCAGCCTCGGGACATCCTCGAGGCCGCCGTGCCGCTGAGTGACCAGAGTCCACATTGCACCAACCAAACCGCTCGCGGAAGCCGACGGCGTCATGCTGCTCCTCGCTCTGGAGCGCGCGCCTCTCGAGCGCATGATAATCAACGCAGCTCGACAAGACAATGGCCGTTGGCTTGGCCACGTCATGCGGCTGCTGGCCAAGGACCGCGTTCGTGACGTTGTGCTCGTCGGAGATTCGCGGACGTCGTTGCCACCAACTGCGGACGCGGATCTGCAAGCGTGGCTGTCGTCCGGCCGATCGCTGTGCTTGCGGGGCTTGCACATCTCGGCGGCGCTCGCCGGAGCGCTGGCGCAGGCGTCCTCGCTCCAGTCACTCACCTTGGATCGCGTGCTCGGACTCTCGGGACCGGTCGTCCTGCCGGCATCGCTGACGACGTTCACGTGGGTCTTTGACGCCCGCCCATTGGCGTCTACAGCTGTGGCGGCGTCGCTTGTCTCGGCGCCTCACTTGACGCACTTGACGCTTGACGGCGGCCTCTGTCCCGATGCTGTAGCAACAGCCCTCATGGCGCTGCCCGCGCTGTCGTCGCTGCGCCTGCATGGCCTCGCGCTCTGCCACGCAGGCCGTTGTTGGTGGTGAGTTGGTGGCAAATGTAAAACTGAATTACTTTTGTTATCCTATGAACCTAGCAAGCTTTTAACTTTAACTTTAACTATGATCTTCAATGTTGAATGTTGAAGTAGCTTGCTCCTTGATATGCACTTGATTTCGTAAAGATGTGCAACACGACACGCTCTCCACGTCGCTTCGCGCCGCGCTACCGCAGGTCCAACACCTCGACCACTTGGACCTCGGCGGCCACCCGTTCGGAGCGTTTGCGCCGGTGCTCGCGGAGACGCTTCCGCTATGCGGTCGCTGGACGTCGCTGTCAACTACGAGCACGACCTCGACCGCGCCTTGCGCTGGCTCCTGGCCCACACGTAGTTTGTCGTAGCATTGCCGCCGCATGCGAGTAGCATCAAGCCGCAGAGCCGGACACTCGTCGATGCGATTGACGCGAGCGGCACGGGCCACGCCTGCGCCGTCCGCCTCCACCTCCGGGACACCCCCGCCAGCGCCGTTCTCGATCCGTGCAAATGACGTGGCAGAGCCAGTTACACAACCGCGGGAAAGAGCAAGGAACGAAGCGAGCTTCGTGCGCCGCCAGTTCTTGGAGGTACGTGGAGCCAAGATCGACTTGCAAGAAAAGGTCGACAGAGAAGGGTGAATAGCCTGCCTAATAATACCAATGTCCCGCGTCGAACTTCATTTTTTTTACTTTGAAATCGCAATAGGCTGGTCAAGCTGGAGGTGCTGGCGAATCTTCAAGTTGCCCAAGAAGATACTAAATCCGTCGATCGAATCTATTTCGCTGTACACTTGATAAATGTATGCGTGAGCAAGAATTAAAATAAACGCCCCCCACCTCATTTCTTCATTGTCGACCGAGAGACAAGAATGGAGCCGACGTGTGCCAACCCCAGCTGCTCTCTCGACCAAACGTTGGCTCTGCACTCTTGTCAGGCCGTTGGCTGCTCGCGTGTGACGCACTATATATGCTGTATCGATGCCGGGACCGAGGACAATGTGCTCCTCTGCTACCCCTGCAGCCGTACGCTCGACCGTTGTATCAACTGCAACGTCTAATCCGCCACGTAGAGGGTCGCGGCACCAATGCGGCGCCAGCATTGCTCGACCGCGGTACGATTGGCCCGTCCTCTGGTCGGTATTAAAGCATGGCGTAGAAGCTGGCGGCGCTGGACATGCTGGCAACTAGACGATTCGGCTCGCTCGGTTTTGCGCCGGTTTTGGAGCCGTTGATGTCCGAGCCGACGGAGCGGGCCATAATGACGCACGCCCCACAGCATTAAAAGTGATCAATCTAAACATTGACGGTGACATCGAGGTCGTAGAACCATGTCGAGTAATGGCGAAATCGGGGAAGTTAAGGCGACGTCGTGAGCTCTGGGCCAATGTGATCGACTTGCCCAATGGTGTGCGTCGTTTTGTGCACAGCGACAAGAGCAAAGAGCTTGATCCCGACCACGTCGGTGCTCAGCGAGCGAGCAAACTCTGCGGCGAAGCGCGTCTTCGAAGGACGAGACAGCCTCGGCGACAACTTGTTCAAGGCGCAGATATGTGCGCAGTCATGGCTGCCGCTTGCGAAAGTGCTGGACTTCCCGCTCCCAGACGAGCGCTCGACGGCTTGAAAACGCGCGCAAAGTCACACGTTGACGTCGCTCTCAAAGATAACAGAGTACGCCTCTTTGCAGCGTTGCCTTATTGTAGAATTGTTGTTGCGTTGTCTGCCCCAGCGTGCGGAATGCAAGCAAAGCACACGTCATTAGATTTGGTGCGTTAAAGCTTCATGCCCGCCACGTCCGCGTTCTGGACAACGTAGTAGCCAGTGGTCGACGGAGCCACACCCGTCTTGGTCATGTTGACGAACGCGTCGACCACGACGTCGCGGTTGCAGATCGTATCGAGCTCGGTGTCCGTGATCCCGCCGGTCGCTTCCTTTTGGATTGCAATGTCTTCCTTGAGCAACTCGTTGAGTTCCTCCATCGAGAGACATGTCTCCTCGAGGTTCTGCGACGAAAACGCACCACCGCTGAGCACGACACGTTCCAGCATGCGCTTGGCGTTCGCGCGCTTGATCATCCGGTTCTCAAACGAGTTTTCGACAATGAGGCGGTAGACCGCCACGTCTTTGGTCTGCCCGATGCGATAGCAGCGGTCCTGGGCCTGGCAGTCCGCGTGCGGGTTCCAGTCCGAGTCGTAGAAGATGACCGTGTCCGCGCCCGTCAAGTTGATGCCGACGCCACCGGCGCGCGTCGAGAGCAGAAAGATCTGTAGCTCGCGTTTGGGGTCGTTGAACATGTCCATCAAGCGCTGGCGGTCGCCAAAGTGCACATTGCCGTCGAGGCGGCAAAATGTGTACGATCGTAGCGTCATGAAATCTTCGAGGATGTCGAGGACAGCAGTCATCTGGCTGAAAATGAGCACCTTGTGCTTCGCCGCGAGAAGACGCGTGAGCATCTTGTCGAGCACAATCATCTTGCCAGACGTCTCGATGAGCGACTCGTCCGTCACAATGTCGCCGTTCGCGTTCGTACACTCGTCAAATAAGAACGGGTGGTTGCAGCACTTGCGCATCTGCATGGCGAGGTTCTTGGCCGATTCCGCGCGCATGGCTATAATTCATTGCATAAGGTGCCGCATTGGTTTGCATCAGAAAGCTTACAGGGGTTGTGCTTGCCGTGCATCTTTTGGAGCTCGGGTATGAGAGCGCGGTCCACAAGGAGCTTGTTGTAGCGTTCTTGGAGCTCCGTCATGGCGCAGTAGACGACGATCTCCGTCTTGGACGGCAGGTCAGTAAGCACGTCGCGCTTGAGGCGGCGGAGCATGAACGGCTGAAGGATCTCGCGCAGCTTCGAGACCGCTTGGGACTTTTCATGATTGTTCAGCACGTCCTGCTTGGAGATAATGTCGTTTGCCTCCGCCTTCGCGTCATCCGACAAGAACAAGCTCTGAACGTCCTCGAGTTCATGGGACGCATCGGGCGAGAGAAAGCCGAGGACGTTCGAAAGTTCGCTCAAATTGTTCTGGAGCGGCGTGCCCGTGAGCAAGAGGCGGTTCTTCGACTTTAACGCCTTGAGTGCGACCATGAGCTTGTTGTCCGCGCTCTTGAGGCAATGGGCCTCGTCAACGATGACGTACTCCCAGACGTGACCGAGCGTCGTCAACGAGGCCGCGTCAGCCTTGATGACTTCGTACGACGTGATCATGACGAGAAATGGAGGCTTTGCTTCCTTGCGCATCGTGAGGCGCGTGGTGGAGCCATGGTACAACCAGCACTTGATCGACGGCGCAAAGCGCTTGAACTCGCGCTCCCAGTTGGTGAGCGTCGAGAGCGGCGCGACAATCAAAAACAGCCCGGCCACGCCTTGGGCCTTGAGCTGCGCAATCATGCCAATGACCTGGACCGTCTTGCCAAGGCCCATTTCGTCGGCGAGGATGCCGTTGCGACGGTCCTTGTAGAGATTGCACATCCACTGGATACCCTCGAGCTGGTGTGAGCGCAGCGTCCCGCCCGTGAGCAAACTCGGCTGCTTGAAGCTCATTTTGGCCATCACATGCACCGCGGACGCTTCATCGACGACCTTGTGGCGCTTGGTCGGGCCTTGCTCTTCACGCTTGCGCCGCTTTTTCGAGTCCATGGACGTCGTCTCGGCCAGCGGCGCGTCAAGACGGGACTCAGAGTACGCACCCGACTTCTCGACGAGCAAGTCATCGTTGTCGTCGTCACTGGTCTCGCGCACTTGGCGGGCGCCACTGGGCGCGGCAGAGGGGCTACTGTGACCTGGG